AGACACTCATAGGGACACCCATGTTGCTACTTACGGGTGCCCTTATGCTCTCAACATAAAAACACTTCCCTTTGCAGCTGGTCATTGTAGCCATTCTTTACTATTAAGGTTAATTTTAAGGTAGGCCAGTTGATCTGTTACTAAAATATCCTCAAATCTGAGCTCTTGTTCTGGAGCTGCTTGAAGGCTCAGCTCTGCCACTAATACCTTTTTCCACCTTGCACTCAGAAATAAACCTCCAGCTGACTCTTATTTGACCCACATCTAGAGGAAAATTGGGCTCTCAGGGGTAGTGAACTGGCCAGCAGCCCATGCTCATCCCTCAGGCAAAGAGCACCCAGGCACTCACCGTTCTGCAGTGCGTGTGTCCAGCCTGGAGCTGCAGAGGAAAGGCTGAGTCATTTCCATGGGATATTTCACGGAGGAGTTAAGTGATGCGGGACTTGGGTCTGAACAGCTCTGCTTCCTGGTGAATAGTAATTTTGTTTACTTAGAAGAGCAAAAAAATCACTGGGGGCCTCGGTGCTGCTGTGTCATCCCTGACTGGAGGAAGTCTTGTTTATCTCATCCTGAAAAGAGAGAGAAGAGATTGCGGTGGCGCTTTTCAGAAAATAATTCTCTACTTTTGGAGAGTGTAGGCAGTGGAAATAGTCCATAGGTTTGAGTCCTTAAGCTTCATTTTTTTTTTTCTGCTTATTCTGTAACAGCAGCAGTGTGCTACCCCAGCAAGAACAAAGGAGCCTCGGGAGGGACTCCTGACACCCCATGCCAGGCTGCATTTATTTTGTTACACCAAAGCAGCTTCAAATTTGTAACTGTAGAGGAGTGGTTTGAAGCTTATGCTGGACTGAGTGAGGTTTGGAGCTTGCTTGTGATTTTCTTCTTCCGGCCTTGATTTTCATGCAGCATTTGTTTTGCCCAGCAACTGTGTAAATAGGACCTGGTATAAATCTTTTGCTACTTCTTTATAGGGGAAGAGGAAAAAATTGAACATGCTGTTTAGTCTGAGGGTAGAATATTTTGATCCAAGGTGCTGGAAGTAATCTCTACTTTATGGCAACATGTCCTGAGAATCATTAATGCTTCTAACAGGGCACAGAGGAGCTTGGGTCCCTCAATGAGTCACATGTTGGGTTCATGCCCATCACCAGTGCACTTGAACAGGCAGATGGCAAGTGTCTCCTCCACCCCTTCCCTTCTCCAGCCTGATCACATCTGCTGACATTCATGTGCCGAAATAGCATCGGCACACGAGGGAAATGAGTCCCTCTGCTCACAGGCTGCAGGGGGCTATGGACATGCTGCACAGCCTCTGGGGTTTGTCAATACTTTCAGCTTGTTTCATGACAGTGAGCACTGGAGCTAGCTTAGGATTTTTCATCTGGTCTTGATTTTTGTGCAGCGTTTGTTTTGTGCAGCATCTACCTGTGTAGATAAGACCCGACATAAATATTTTGCACTCAGGATAGATTCAAACTCACGGCAAACAGCACTGGTCTGCTGCCACAGCACAAAATTATTCAAGGAGGATGGAGCAAAACCCAAAATGTTTGCACTTTCCTCTAATTTGATGAAAGAGCCACCACTGCTTGCAGTTTGGGCCATTGGGGGGNGTTGGGAAGTCAGGGCAGCACACCTTGTGTTGGTTGAAAACCATGTCCTGTATTAGTCAAAGGGCTAGTCCTGGTTTGGGTACTGAATTGCAGGCTTTACTTTTGCCCAATCCAGGCAACTCCTAAAGGTTCATCTATGTTTTAATGATCAGAATCATGGAAATAATCATCAGAAAAACTCAACAGATGTCTGAGAGGAAAAATTATAAATCAAAAGTGGATGAGATCTTTGTCTACTTCAAAATGGTGGAATTGCTTCTGGGTCAGATCCCAGCTCCAGGGAGATCACAGCACTGTCCCTGACAGTAACTGTACAAGTCTGCCCCATACTGATTTCTTAAGAGGTGTTTAATGGGACTGGCAATTTACCCTTTAGCTTTAAATGTGACCATAAACAAAGGAAGAGAATTTATGTTCAAGGAGTCTGGTTGTCTTCTATGTTTAAAAAGTCACTTGGAATGTTATTTTATTTTACCTTTTTAGCTCAGTGGGGAGTGAACAGCTCTTGCTTTCCAAAGAAAAAAAAAGCTGTTCCTTGAGATCTTTATGTCTGGAACACTGAAGTAGTCCAAAGACTTGTCCTGTACCAAAAACGTTTTCACAACAAGATCTTCATTTTCATGTGCCATTTATAGTAAATGAAGACGTGTTTGTAGGAGTACCGATAGTTGGAGAGGTTGATCATGCAAAAAAACCTGAAGGACTGTTTTTTGAAACTTAAATCTGATTATGCATATATGCTATTTTTATTCCGCTCTTTAGTTATCTGTCAAGGAACATTTGTGCAAATGAATTTTCATTATGGATTTTAAGCATACAGGCTGGAATGCTGGCAGAAAGATATCCTAAACAGTGCTTTTATATACTGCTTTTCCCCAGGATTTTCAAGGTTAGCCTAATTCTGAGTTCTGGTTAGTCATTGTGAAAATGAAATGTGACCTATAGGACAGATCACAATGAGGCAGCTTCACTTTGATCTGGAGATCAAACGCTGCTTTCCTAACTGGGAATATTTATGAAGTAATTGGTGAGTCTCAGGAAAAACAAGTCTCACTCATGACTGTATTGGAAGTGGAAAGATGGCAAAATTCGTAGTACGTTACCGGTGAATTGAGTAGGATGAGTTATTGCTAATAATATCCAAACTGGCTGTCTCCTGAATTGGATTTCACATGTCTTATGTGGACTGGCAGATGGGGATAGTGGTGGAACTTGTGAATTATAGCTATTTTTACCCTACTGTTAAACTCAAGTAAGAAATTAGGAGTATTTATTTAATATGTATATGTGCATGCCATAAACTTCCTCATAAACAAAGGTGTGTATATATACATAAACATGTCAGTGTACATGTACTCACACGTGCTTCCTGCAGAAAAGAGATATTGTGGATGGGTATATGGGGCTGCCAAATTCAGTGCACTGTGTCAGGTGTCGAGGTCTCAGGCTGTGATGGCACAAAATGTTCTTGCTCTCAGACATCATCTTCAAACTTGTACAGTACGGGCACTTCTGTTATTAGGGCCAGGACATACAACATGTTTTATTGGGGCAGGAATTCCCAGTTGGAGGAAAGAGATTTGGACCTGTTGCGAACTGTTCGTAGTGGAAGGAAGGACTGTAATGTTGGCAGAGGTCCAGCAAACTTTTTTGGAACCGAGCTCTCTGAAGATGTTGGGTGGCATGGTTTTTGCTGCACTTGCCTGGGATCAGAATGTGTGACCCCAGAGAGGGAAGAGAGGACCTGGCTGTGCCAAGGGCACACGTAGGAGAGGAAGAAAGGGCAGATATCCTAAGAAGTCTGGCTGAGTCTGAAAGCACATCAGGAACCTGATGCTGTCACACCAACCCATCTACATCGATGCTGTCTCGGTAGCCCCAGGAGAGCTGGCCCAGGGCACAGAGGATGCAGCTCCCAGACTTGCATGACCAAAGCCTGTTGCCACTGCAGTTCCCTATTGAGCTCAGCTCCTGCAAGGAACCAGTCCACAGGGACATGCCATCCTGTCTCAGTTCCTGCAAGTGGCTGCAAACCCCCTCAGCCTCAGGATAAATTCTTTCAATTGTTGTTTGCCTTCAGGGCTGCAGATTTCTGTTTCCAGCCTGAATTGACTTTGATTTAGCTCCAGCTGTTGAAAGCATACTGAAGAGCGGGGGATGTGTTGCTGAGGGACCTCCAGGACCTCCTGATTCCTATGTCCTGGGGCATGGATATGTGCAGGGTTCAGTGTGCACTGTGCAGGGCATTAACTACAGTGCAGTGCCAGGCTCTGGCCAGGCATCTTGGCACTGCTGCTTTTCCCTGCCCTGGTACCATCACAGCTGGCTCACACTTAGCCAGGGGTGAATAAACCTGTCTGACATGAGAGCCTGGCCTCGGAGGACACAGAGGCATCGTGGGGGACAAAGGGAAGAACGAGAATGTGGCAATGACAAGGAAATTGCTCTCTGAAGATTTTCTAATCTGCTACAAAATGAGCTGAGAGCAAGGGAAGGAAAGGAGTGGCAAGAGAAGCGAAAAGCCTCCAATAAATCAGTGAAGCAGAGGGTCCATTCTGTAAGGATAAGGCAAAGGCAGGGGAGAGCTGTGGCTAGAGGCCACCTGCCTGGTCCCCCTAAACCCCGTCCTGCTGCGAGCCAGGTATCCTCCCTCCTCTGTCGAGGACCCGGAGCCACCTATTTGCTCATCGCAGTCACGTCTGTTTGGGTGTCTGCGCCTCCCCAGGAGGCGGCTCCGTCCAAAGCAAGTACCCACGGCCCGTGGGTCCGGCTGGGGCGCTCCCGCTGCCCGCCCCGAGCCCCCTCCTCCCCGGCCCCTCCGCAGCTCCGCACGCAGCGCCACCGGGCAGGGCTCCCGCTCGCTCCCTCGCCTGGGAGAGGAGGAGGAGGAGGGAGAGGAGGAGGAGGAGGAGGAGGAGGGAAGGGTGGTGATAAGGGGCTTGCTGCGTCGCCTCATTTCTGTACCCAGCGCACGGCTCGGGGGGTGTGCGCGGTACCCGCATCGCTGCCGGAGAGATTCTGCTGCTGCTGCTCCTGCTGCTGTTCCTGCTGCTGCAGTCCCAGCGCTGGGCTGCCGGCGCCCAGGCGTCAGGGGAACGCTGGCTGTTTACCGTCTGGTGGGAAGTGTTGCGATGCAAAAGCCGAACGTGCCCGTGGAGGGGAATCTGCGCTGGCGGCGGCACCTGTGAGGAGCAAAGGCGAAGAGGCTTCCCGAGGCGTTCAGCAGCCGGCGGCCAAGGGGCCGGGCATCTGCACCTCACTCCAGTGTCTCCACCACCACTTGCTCCGGATCTCTTCTTAAGGGAGAAGAGGGAAAAGGATCCAGAAACCCCCCCTGCAACTGGACAGCCCCTGCTGGAGTCTAACAGGTGTTTGCTGGGATTTGAATGGGGAGGGGATGGGTGGGGAGAAAAGTTAACTGGAGAAATTGGGGCTAGGAGAGATGCAATGATCTTGCACCAAGTGGATGTGCCATGTCTGCATGCAAATAGTGCGCCTGGAGAAGCTCAGAGGGATGTCTTACAAGTGATCTACGTGATCTCCGTAGAAACGCTCACCTCTGCCTGCAAACTTTCCCCTGCTAGAAGTTGGGAGGAATAAAAAAGCATCAGAAAGTCAAAAAGGGGGAAGATCTCAGTGGACAAAAACGCTTGAGCTAAACTGTTGCACCCCGACCTGGGGCTCTGGTGCGAGCATCCCGCCGGTGTCTCCTGGGCTCCCAACCGACTGGCGGTGGGTGGCGTTGGCCAAGGTGCCCGGCAGCGTCCCCAGCCTTGGGGACGGGCCGAGCAGCATGCTGGCTGCGGCGCCCACGGCCGGCCAGCAAACCCCACGTGCCTGACCCGCCGGTGGTGCCGGGGCGGTGGCGGCCATGGCTGCAGCCATCGCCAGCTCCCTGATCCGCCAGAAGAGACAAGCCAGGGAGCGGGAGAAGTCCAATGCCTGTAAGTGTGTCAACAGCCCAAGCAAGAGCAAGGGAAGCTGCGACAAGAACAAGTTGAATGTGTTTTCCAGGGTCAAACTCTTTGGCTCCAAGAAAAGGCGAAGAAGGCGACCAGGTTGGCAAGGGTTATATCTTTGGGGGGTTGTTTTGTTTAATTTAATGGAAGCTGGGATGTGTGTCAGGTGCGGGGAAAGGGGGACAGGTGTCTCAGAGCTGGTGAAATGAACGTGGCAGGTATTGCCAGCTCTGGCTTGTATCATCTGATGGTACGCCATGCCAGTCCCTTCCCTGGTCATGTTCATCTGGTTTATATGGGTAACACGCACTGTTGCTGTCTGTCTCACTTGCACACCTGTGTGCACCCATGTATTGGTAATGTGGTAGTCTGTCTCTGTGTTGCACATACACATGTGCAAACACATGGGATTTATTTGTGGGGGAGATGCCAGTAGGGAAGTTGCCACACATGCATCTCTTTCAGTTGTACATTAAATAACTTAGTGGTCTAGGGATCTGTTTTTGTTGTCCCGCTTCTCAGAATGCCCGTGTAGTGCTTTATCTCCTGATTGCAGATTAGGCTTTTTGCTTTCACTGGCACCTTCCAGAGTTCTGCTTCAGCACCCTGTTCCTTTCTAGGAATCTCATACCTGCAGCTGCCCTGCAGACACAATGTTCTCTATGTCACAGGTGCAAAAGATCAGGCACAAAGACACAGTCCCTGATCTGAGTGGGTTGCTTTGTATGTGGGAGGAGCAAAACCCTCTGGTAATGTTGCTTTCGCTTTGCTGTGCTGGAGCATCAGTGCCATTAACTACTCCACCTGTCCACCTTGCTCAGCAGCCACGGAAGAGCTGCCTTGTTCACAGTTTGCAAACAGCTAAAAAGCCAAAGTGAGGGTTGGAATAATTTGTTTTCAGAAAAGTTGGCAGATAAGAGTTGTGCATCCATCAGTACTCTTATTAAAGGTTGCTAATAAGAACTAATACACTTATGCAAACTGTTGTAAGTTTTTGCTTTCAACCCCTACTAAAACGAAGTACAGTAGCAGAGCTTCCTGATGTCTTTGATCACAAACATAAGAAGTCTTATCCAGGCACACTTTCCAGACTGGTGGAAATGACACACCATATCTTCACAGTGTGTTTATCTCTGAATAAAGTAAGATGATGTGGAGCGAGCTGCAGGGATGCATCAGCTCCTGACAAACGTAATTGTGTGAAACAACTTCAATGCAGATGTCATTGAGATTCAGTGGACGTAGACCTTTCTTTGTAATTACTCCTGATGCATTACTTAGATATCTTAAATGACACACTTCACAGCATACTGTATACCCTGCTGCTGTATACTTTTTGGTCTGGAATGGTATGAAGCCCTGTGAGATATCTCACTCTCTGACTGTGAATCTGAGGATGGTTATGAAAAAGGAAATCTATCCAAACTCTGTGTTGTTTTGATCTTTCTTCTTCTAGTTGATGAGGTAATTACCTCAGCCCTTATGGTAATATTTATTTTTCAGTTCCACACATTGCTGCGTTTCAGGGTTTCCCCCTCCATTTTCCATATGTTCATTGAGTAGTTTATCTCTTTGGAGGCTCTATACTCTTTGGAGCAGCAAGGGATGGGGTTTGTTTATTAGGGCTGCAGCAGTTCCTGTGCTAAACGTTTGTTGCTATATATTTAGGCTCTCAACTGTCTCTGTGGCTCCTATTAGTGCTATCGTAATAGTCTTCTTTTCCTCTCCATCTAAGAATTCACACCTTTTTTAAAAGACAGAATACATTCTTTGCCAGCTTGTTTCTAATCTTAAATGAGATAGGGCTGAGCTCCTGAGGCCAAGCAGGACACTGTTGGAATCTGTATTCACTGGAAGTAGATTTTACTGTGCTATTTACATGGCAGTTGAAAGTGGCATTTAATCATTTTGGCAATTGATTTCATAGACATAAATTTGATCTCGGCCTGAATGAAAAGTGTTGCAAAGCCGGTTGCTCTGCCTTTGTTTTGGGTCTTTTTCTTATCTCAGCCTTGAGAAGAAACCTGAAGATTTGTTTTTAACATCCATGTTTGTTTGGAACAGCACATCAGGATTTCCCACATTAATCTCACTATTGTTTTTTTACAGAGCCTCAGCTTAAAGGTATAGTAACAAAGCTATACAGCAGGCAAGGATACCACTTGCAGTTGCAAGCAGATGGAACAATTGATGGAACAAAAGAGGAAGACAGTAGTTATAGTAAGTGACACAAGAATAAATGGTGTGTTTGTGAATTGTGGTGTGTCATTCTTCCCATATAGGTCTGATCAAAATTGTTGTCCTGGGATGGCTGAGTGAGTGGAAGTGGCACTAACGCTGGGATCACAGCACAGAAGTCCTTCAGACTTACTGGGTCTGAGAGAAACACAGATAAAAATCACTTATAGAAATAATGAACTAGAGGAGGTAATGATGACACATGTGACAAACAAAGCAAATGTTATCTCCATGGTAATCTAGAGAACTTCGTAGCTGTCCTTTGGATTTTATTAGGGTTTTTTTTTCCAACAGGGAAAATTTGCTCGCCTACTCAGAGTGCCTGAAATAGAATAACGCTATCTCCACTCTTAAACAGGGGCTCATTCAAACAGAGCCGTGTTATTTCACACAATGAGAGTTCACCATCATTTTAAAGTTCACATTTCTCTTTTTTTTTTTTTTTTACCCCCTCTAAACTTAATTATACCATCAACTTTCCACCAGATTTCCCTCAGCCTTTCTGTGAAGAAGCTTTGGGCATTTTTGGTTGTTGGTTGTTGGAAATTTTTTAAAACTTTGAGAATTAATAGAAAACGGGACAAGATGACTAGAGAATAGATTTGGTGTGTGTAAATAAAATATTTAAGGGTTTCACATAGTTGTATTGTTTAGCTTAAACTCCATTTTTTGTAAAGAATGAAAGGAGTTTTAAGAAGGTATTTCAGGCCACTTAGATGACAAACCAAAAATCAACATGCAGACCTTCCTTGTTAATTAATAAAAAGCACTGATTTAAGTGCCATCATTTCATATGAAAAGCATTTGCAGGTGAAACATCATTTCAATTTACAGGGCACTCAAATATGGCAGAATGAGCACTCGATGCAATAGAAAATATTGTGTCTTATTTACTCCATCAGTTGCTCCCATCCTTTTCCCACATCTTCTTCAGTCCTTTCTGCATCTCTGTGTTACCCTCTCAGTGAGAGGAGGGGGCTGGTTTCCCTGTGGGAGGAGGTTCCCCTTGCAGCCCCTGAAGGTGCTGACCATAAGGGACAGTGAGGACCTGTGGGGACGGGTCCTATCATCACCTGCAGACACCACATCAGTGCAAAGGTGATGGCTACTGCCACCTCATGCAGTTCTCCTAGGGCAGCCCAAAATGTACCCTAAGAATGGTCCTTATGGACCTTAAACAGTGCTTTTCTTTCAAGTGAATGACCTGATATTTGAGATTTTAAAAATCACTACAGATTGTTCAGGCTTTTGGGGTAATTCTGTTAATTATCTTTAAAAAAAAGATGAGAAAATAGGCAAAGCTTCCTCTTTCCATCGCAGTGTGATATTGCTACAAACTTTTAATTTACCAGAGTAAATATCTGAAATTGCAAATACTGATTTTTTTTTAATACAAATATGTCTTTTTCTAAGATCTTTGTTCTCACTATGTCCTTAAATTGACCATAACCTGATAGATTATTAAACAAATTATAAAACCTCCTTGTTTCTATATACCAGCCTTCCAAAATGCTGAATACTTAAATATAATGGAAGTATCCCAGAACTAATTGCAGCTGAGCATAACAGAGCAGGGTTTTATCATTAAAAAAAAAAAAAAATCATATTCAAGGTAAGTGTATGGCTCTGGGTATCCTGCAGTCCTGAATTAATTTTAATTGCAATATTTTAATGGAACTAGTAAGACAGACTGATTATGCTGTTGGTCAGAGTCCACATAAGGTGCTTTCCCCCAAACCCCTGCTAACATGAATGTTTAGCAGATCAGACCCTCTAAAATCCTTTCTTTCAGTGTCTGCAAAGACATCTCTCATTTAGTCCATTTTCATGCACTGCAGGGAAGCCACTTTTAGCCCCCTCCAAAAGCAATTATTCTTCCCTGGGTATGGTAGGGATGGGAAGAGCTTGCAGCCCCCCATAACCAGCTGTGTTTCGTGCTCCCACAAGCAGCCTGGGGCCAGGATCCACCTTCTCCATCATTTGTTACCTAGAGATGGGTGGGAAGTTTGCCTCAAACTCCCCTTTGGCTCCTGGCTTGGGAGCAATTATTTCAAGCTCTGCAGACCCGCTGCTGCATGCAGGGTTCACAAAAAACAAGTTTGCATCCACGACTGCAGGGAGCTTGAAAGAAAGATGAGAGTTTGGAGCAAAATTTAGGCAGAAAGTGACACACGGATTTAAGGAACCATAGCACTCATCAGGCTTCAGTTTTAGCCAAGAGTCCATGTGATTTGAGGAAATGCCGTGTGGAAAGGATCTTCTGGCTGAGAAACAGATTTTTGCTCGTTAAGTATGTTGAATAGGGCAAGGGTTTAAATAAAGGCAGAATTTATTCCCCAGTTTTGGCAAGACAAAAAGATTTCAAGACTGATAAAATAAAGAAATATAGGAAACAATATCCTGCAGACAGCATACAAAAGACCAGCTGGCCAAGGTAAGACTGGCACAGACTTCACAGTATCGTATACGTTCATAAATTCAGCTGTGGCATGCTGCCTCTGATTTTGCAGCTTTGTTTCTCTGTCAGTTTGTATTGCACAAGGGCCATGGCAAAGGTCATCTCTCCCTCAGGCATCATGAAGTTTTTCATTAGGATGGATATTATATCCTTATTTTAAACAGCACAAGTGTAGTAGGGAAAGACTAGGATGCAAATAGCTTTGCATTATTTTATGCTGACTCCAGCTGATTACAGTAGCAAGTAATTTATTTTCCTGTGGCTTTTTTTGCCACCCTTTCTGTCATACCTGCCCACATGAGGATCATCCCCTAGAAATGTGATAGCATCTGCATCCTGTTGTCTGTGGTGCTGGGGACTTGGAGAGATGGGGCTGTGTGGCTCTGCTGTGGGCACCATCAGCAGCCACCGACATGGACAGGACACTCACAGTTCCAGAAGCCAGATTTGGACTTGCTGCTGTGCAGGGACAGTGAGAATAACAGCTGCTGCTAAAGGGGACAATCCCTTTTCTGGTGCAGTGCTAATGTCCCCTCTCCCTGGAGGCAGCAGCTTGGGTGGGGCATCTGACTGTGCTGGCACAGGACAGAGTGTGCACCCCTCCAACAGCTTTAGCAGAGTCAGCATCACCCCCCCAACAACCCTTTCTGAAATTCCAACTGTCTGTGCCACAGCAGCTGTTCATCCCACTGAAGTTTAAACCAGCTTCTGAGTGTGCCCAACCCTCATCTTGCCTCAAAATAGAGCATGTATGTTTATGGCAGGAGAACGTTCTGCTGCTGAGGGAAGCAGCTGAGCACCCATTGCAGTGGGTGCCCCAGCCCTCCTCTGGCAATCACTCAGACTCAGATCTGCTCACTTTGCCCAGCAAAGCACAGCCAGGAATCCCTTACTAAAGCCTGTCTCTGTGGCTCCTGGTAGCTGTGTCTTCTCAGCTGTCCCAGGCGTTGCCCTGTCCTCAGCTGGTTACTGGCAGGTTCATAGCGCTGCTCTTAGTGGAACCCATGCTCAGACCCTTGTGCTGAAAATACCCAAACACCTGCCCTACTTGTAAATGTGCCATTAGGAAATCATCTTTCAAAAGAGACCTGCAGGTTCTGCCTGGATACTGAGCTTTAAATTGTGCTCTTCAGCCTACACAAAGATCAGATGCTGCTTTTTGGGGTTGAGCTGCGAAAGAGGGCTCTCCAAGGGAGTATTTAATGAGTCAGAAAGGGAATACTTTCTCCCCCAAATAAACTCAAGCATTTGATAGAACGAGTGAAAAATCCATTTCCCTTACTGGAAACCTAAGATTCTTTTGCCAAATACTGCACAGAATCAGAGGGTTTTGTTTTAGTGAAGGGAGAAATTCATTTATGTTGATTTTATACTTGAGGCGAGTGTGAGGAGGGTCTGCATGTGTGTGTGTGTTTGTGTCTGCATGTACATTCTCCCACATGAGAGGGAAAGAAAAACAGATTTTATGAAGTTCTACATTTATTTGTTAGTTCTGGATATTTCCACCTTTTCTGCTACATTTGACTATTGTAGGAAATGCAATGCCCAACTTCAGGGCACTCGGCAATCTCACATCCAGAATTTAGGATCTGTATTAAATGCTGGCCAACTGTAAATTTCTTTTTTAATAAAATATGGCCATTTGGGGGTTTTCAAGCTGAAAAAGGAATTTATAAGAGGTCATAACTCTAAACTTATACTTTTGAAAAGAATAAAAATATTTCAGATTCATAATTCAGTTTTAAACTGGTTTCAGACAGTGACCATAAATAGCAAACTTCAGCCTGAAGCAGACCAAAGTTTTCCAGCCAAGTAATAAATCATTGGAAATGAGAGGCAGTTTGGCATTACTTTATCCTATCTCTGCACTTATACTACAGATTGGAAGGAGATGCTTTGGGTTATGATAACTTTTCTTAACTCCCCTTTATTTTTAATCCTGCATATTGAACATGGAGTACTGTATTCAACACTTTGTTGTTTTTGTTCAGTTTTAATGTATCCATGAATCCAAGCTATGGCAGAGCTTTGCTTTTTTTTCTTCTTTTTTTTTTTTGGCTTTAATTTACCCCTTTACAAAGCAGAATCTCCTTTTTTTTTTAAAGATACATCTCTGCTTACAAATACTGCTATTATTACCATGTATACAAGCATAAACATAAGCAGAACATTCGGAGCAGCTCAGTTTTGAAAGCACAGATTCAGGGCTAGATCTAAAGAATTGCTGTAATTTCATTTTGAAGTTATTTAATTCTGTTTTTTTCAAACTCATTCTCCTCTAAAAAGAGGAAAAAGAAAACCCTACTAAATTTTGAGTGGAAGCATTCTGTGATGTTAATGATGGTTTTGAACTCCTCTGAATTTCATCTTCCTCCTTCCTTTTGGTCAAAATGTTAACTGAATTTGATCTGAAAATAAAAACAAAATTAACGTCTTGTAAAAATTTTTGTATGTTTGCTTCTGGATTTCTTTTTGTTTTCTTTTTGCACTTACTGTCAAAAAAACCCCAAACAAATTAGTATGGTCAGTTCTACTCAGCAGACCCTGGATTCTGCTCATGAGGCAGGTAAGTCCTTTAAGCTGTCAGTACTTTCAGTTCACCATCTTGAGAAAGAGGGAGATACGTTGACACTCTCATGTAATTTCTGAGCTATTGGTGGAAATTTCTATAAAAGAACATGACAGTAGCAGTATTGCTCTGTAGCACCCACAGAAATTAATATATGCATGAATAGACATTTTTTATTTGGTTCTGGTAATTATGGTTTAATTTTCTATCTAATCTGCATACTCTAAAGGATTAATTTTGCTCTCCATCTCCTTTCTCTCCTAGCTTTGTTTAACCTCATACCTGTGGGTTTACGAGTGGTGGCGATTCAGGGGGTTCAAACAAAATTATATCTGGCAATGAACAGTGAAGGATACCTATACACATCAGTAAGTAAACATTTTTCATTCTGTTCTCAGTGAAATTGTGTCAAGAACTTGGTAACTTTATAATTTACTATTCCAGGGAATGTGGTTATAATCTATAGACATGAGATTTGATAGCAAATTCAGTGCAATGGCGATGGTCTGGTTCTAGCTTATTATTCTGTTATTTCCCTTTGGAATCCATGCGGTGCATGAAATCAAACTGTGGTGCCTTTGATGCAAACTAATAATCCTAAAGTGTGAAATATATAAAAAAAACACATCCAAAACCCCAAACAAAAAGGATCCTCTCTCTTGGTCACTGTGAACTGGTTGGGCTAATCAGTGCAGGGTATGGAGGGGAAGGGACAACTCATGTATCACACACATGCCTGAACACATTTTATATCTTCCTATGTAATCTGTGTTGCTGTTATTAAAAGGGATTAGAGAAAGTAGGTTTTTTTGTTTGGCCGGGATTTTCACATAGAAATTTTATGGCTTCAAGTTGCTGAGTGAGTAAAGAACCGTTTTATTAGGAGTTTTGATAAAGAATGTCAGTAAATAATTTTCAGTGATGTTTCTTACAAGAGCAAACAATGTTTTTCTGAAGAAAAAAGAAGAAAAGACATTTTAAAAAATAGGCTAGTTTTCAATTAAATTTCAATTAAAAACATTTAGTTGAACTATGTTCAGGAGTTTTAATTATAAACTCTTAATAGATTTTTCCCAAGGAGGAAAATAGAGGAAAATGTAATTTATTATCTTCTGCAAATTATTCTTTTCTATGAATGATTCCCGTAATACTGATAACAATTAAGTAAACTTATCCAAATCTCTCATTTATTTTGCAATCCTGACAGCTGGGACAACGGGCAGCTTTGCATATTTTTCCTCTTGTATCTGCCAGAGCCAAAGCAAATTAGAACTGGTGTTGATGCGGGACAAAGTAACATTTCAGTGAACGGCATCGAACTCTGCTTTCTTTTTTTACTCGGGTTGTTTGCTCAGTGTGGTTAATCCACAGACCTGTTTGTAGGGCTGTAGCCACACAGCCAGAACGTGCAAAGTCCCCTAATCCTGTGTAGTCACAGTCCTGTGACTGCTCAGTGTCATTTACATTTGCACTGTAAATGTACCTTTGACTGCACCGTGTTTTCATTTGCATCAGTGTCTGCAGCCACGGTCCTTTCTGGCTGCTCACTCCCCCAGAGAGCACCAAGTCGTGCTGTGCTGGCTTCTGTGGGCTCAGTCCCACCTCGGGGAACATCACCTCAAGTTGTGTCTCAAGGTGGGATAGAGAGGTTGCTACATAAAGCAAAATTTCATTGCTGTGCTTAGTTTGAGCTGGTCGGTTCTTTCATTGCATACATTCTGGGGAAATCAGCTCTGTTTTTGTAAAGAAGAAGAAAATGGGATGAGGGTGGATTCTGCCCCTGCTAAACTGTTAACAATGCAGGAGTAGCTTCTCATTGAGAGTCATGACCACTGAAAGAATGAAGTATCACTTCTAGTATCCCTTGACGTGAGAAGAAGGGATAGAATATTACTGATTCGGATTAAGTCCAACTTTTTGCTTGATGGGCATCTAGACATCTTAGAGCTCAGAGATTCACTTTGGTTGTAGTTTTTATTATTTGCATTGATTAGGGATAGTTCTTTATGTGATTATGTTATCATAAATAGTGCCTTCCTTGAATCCTTTAGTATCTGTGACTTTAATAGTTTATGCCATTACAAAATTAACTGGTGACATATGTCTATTTTCTCCTTAGTAACAGTGGTCATTTTATTAGGCAATTATATTTTCTTACATTTATTCTTGTATTCTTGAACTTGATGGGTTTGGAAAGGCCTTAAACAGACTTTTGTTGTGTTGTTATGTCCCAGATTCGTATTTTAAATACTCTTCACAAAGACAGGTGTCTATTGAATTTCAATTTACTTTTCTAAAGAAAGTTGCTACCCAAGTTTTCAATAATTTGGGGTTTATCCTCTCATGCTTTCTGGTTTCATTGTCTTGTCCTTCATAATAACTGCAAGAAACTCTTGGTGGGCAAAATCAACTCATGTCTCTGTCAATGAGCCCCAGGTGTCGACAAGGGCTGGTGAGGAGCATCTTCCCCTACTTCACCTGCTATGCATAAGGTTGCCAGAATCCAGTTCCAGCACTATTTTTTAAGTGTTTTTAGCATTTCTTTTGCTGCTAATGGTCCTTTCAGCAAGGCATAGAGTCTGACAGTCTGATGCATGGGAAATAAGCTCTGTATTTTGGGCTGTATTCTTGGTTGATGTAAATGAATCCCAAGAGAGCTCAGCTGATTTATACCAGCTGAACACTCACCTGTTCAAGGAATGCCACCAGGGAGTCAGGGGAACAGATCAGCTCAAGTAAGTGACAGCCATCTACACATCCTGAGGGTTTCCAAGCCCACAGAGGGATGTGTTCCTGAATGGGATTTGTCAGGAGCAGACAGATGGCAACATGGAATTGATCAGGTGCAAAAGCCCCACAAAACACTGTCAGATTCCTGAAGCAAGAGAACAAAGGGAAATAGAAATGTACTTAAATTGTAAATAACTATAACAGATAGTTGCATGCACCATTTCCAGAGAGAAATTAAATTAGCATTGATGATGCAATGTAATAGGGAGAGAGAATATTGTGGTCTATGTCATGATCACTCGCTTTTAGTTCTGTTGTGACTCCAGCACTTGTGTCTGTGCAGAGGAGGATCCCGGGCATCACAGGTAGCCTGAGGTGTGGTTTGCTTCTGATCTAGTGACTGTACTCAAGAATGAGGTGAATTTGCTCCATGGGAGGATCACTGATGAATAATAAACCTGCAGAGAACAGATATCTGTAGTTGGCTGCCAGACTTTATGGATAGTTTGCAGCATCTGTCAGTTAGAGCAAAAATGAGATTTTTAATGTAACGATAAAAGCTCCTCGGGGACAAGGTAGCAACTCAGCTAAGCAAAAGAAAGATATTATGTTAACTACATAAATATATACATTTGTTGTAGCAGCACATTGAAAGTCCTGGACTGCAGGGAAGGGGAGCGACCCTGGTCCTCCCAGCAGCCTGCCGTGCTCTCCTACTCACCATTCTCCAAGCAGTGTGTGGATTCTGTCCACACTGGCTGGAACGTGTGTCTCCATGTCACATAAAAGAACACCACATTTGAAATGTTTTTTTTTTCTACAGCCAGTTTCCTACCAAAGTCCGTGGGAATTGTGTGACTGCACCACCCCAAGCTGAACCCACCCTCACAGTTTTATTTGGAGGGACCTTATTTGGAGCAATTTGGGGCTGCAGCTCTTGGTGCTTGAGCATCCATTTAAAATGGAAACACAGGGTTTGATTCATCCTTCCTTACACCAGTGTCATGCTGCTGCAAGATGACTTAAACCATGTTATGACACTGCTGTCTAATGTAATAGCATCAGGAATCATGCCCTTTTGTATTTTAGGGTGGCTTTTATTTTATCTTATTTTGCTTTCTGTGAATGACCACATCTTTCAAATGAGCACCATATGCACTACAGCTGAGTTTTCAGGTTTCATACTCTATGAATTCCCTGCATTCTTTCATTGTCTTGAACGGAAGAGTGAAAAATATTTTAAGAATCTGTTTGTCAGACATGTAGTCCTAGAGCTATTGCTTGCTCATTAATATGATGGTGATGTGACAGAGGAGGCTCACAGTGATACAGAGCAGCAGCAAGTGAAGTTCCTTAAGGGGAAGGTGTGTATGTAGGTGAGGAGAATTGGTTGTACTGCTTGGATTCTGTATTGGCTGAAACATAACCCAAAGTACAGCAAGTTTAAAAAACAGCCTCTAAACATCTAGCTGTGTATTTTCCATGAACCATTATGTTGGAGTTTTAAAAATCACTTAATGATTATCAGTGAAATGCTTCTTTCTCCCATAGAACATTTCAGCCCAGGTAACTGTGCACTTGTTTAGACTGGATACATTGTCAGGAACAGTGAAATAAGTGCTGCTCATTGCGTGTTTCTGGCCAGTCTCAAAAGCTGTGCAGCTCAGCTTGTTAAGAGGGTTTATTTCCCATCTTGTCTTGTTCTGGGTTCCTGTGTTTTACCAAAGTATTTAATTTAATAATGTCATAGGCAAGTAAGCTTACAGCTTCTCCCAGGTTGGGAGAGCCCTTAGCCAAGAGTGGTCCTTTGCCCTGGTCGTGTGTGATAGGGTCCAGTCTGTCCATCTGTCCTACAGCCTTTCAACTCATTTGCTGAAAATTCAGGGCATTCAGCCTTTTGTACGATGTCTGTTAGGAAGCATTGTTCATGCTGGCTTTCTTAAGTATTCTAGGATGCCCAATATTTTTGAGTTAATAGTGCTACTGTATGCGGCTTAATTTTGCCATCTCTTGTCTGATGTCACTCGGTGCAGTTAGTATGGGTTTAAGGAGCACTTTGGTATAATACCCTGGGCAGACTTTTACATGCAATTTACCCTAAGAGAGCGTTCAGCTAACATTGTTCTCTGTATGTAAAAATAAATTCTCATATATAAATTTGGTACCTGCACAGAAAGTAAATATTGCGTGAAGCATGCACGTTGATTATAGCCAAGAGAACTGAAATGTGATTAAATTCTCAGAGTGCTTCAAAAATTGGTTTTGGTGAGTTGGAAAGAAGAGAAGTTTGTGCATATTTTAATACTGAGCAGTGCAGTGGAGACCTGCTGTAGCTAATGGGAATGGCTGGGGCATTTATAATGAATTACTGGCAAAGAGCATTTTTCCACCTCAGAGAAATAGCACAAACCAAGAGATAGGGGAAATAATCAAAAGCTTCATCTAGTTAAATTTGCATGTCAGTATAAATCATTTTTTACCATGAATGCTCAAGTGCAGACTACACTTTAACACAATTCATTCTTTTCAATGGCAGGGGCTTAGGTACAGCCGCAGCACGTTTTTCTTCTCATCACAACAACTTGTTCTGTGCTGGATAAACATGCAACATCCTCGCAGTGTGGAGGGCTGCTCTGGC